CAAAAGAAATCTAATCTGAAATCAGGGCAGGGCAGATGTGTAACAGTGGAACCTTGAAGAAAAGAGGAAAAGAGGGGAAAAAAAAGAAGCGAGGGAGCAGGGGGAAGAAAAAATGCCAAAGTGCTTACTGTTTGTTTTTTTCCTTAAAATCTCTGCTAGCAGATCTTTCCATTTTAATTCTTTGTCTTTATGTATTGACAATTAATCATCTCTTGCAGGAGCAGAACTTTTGAGGTTTTCTAAGTTACAGGTTGCTAGCAACACACTGACTTTTCTATTGCTTAAAGTCCAGCTTGTGAGAACAGCTGCAGCAGTCTAAAAGATAAAAGCATTAGAAGGTTCATGCTAGACTGGGCCCAGGAATAAAATATTGACCTTTCTGAAGGTAAGCCATTAAAGTAACAGCAAAAAAATACAAGTGTAGTTCACTTGTATGTTGTTATCTACATTTTAGTCAACAGCACCCCTCTGACATAATCAATGATGGATTAATCTTAATCCTCTATTCAAGAGAATCTGTATCAGGTTTTGGCATGTCCCTTTTGCACACTCACAATCTATGGCACTTAAGAAAAGTTGAAAGAGCTGGAAACACAGAAAAGCCAACTCAGTATTGGACCAAGTAAGCTCAGGTGAGAAAACAAAACAGAACTGCCTGTTACTGTTGAAATAAGGTTACCAAGAAATTCACTTAAAAAAAAAAAAAAAAGAAAGAAAAGACAAAGTGTGAAAAGTCAAGTCGCAGAGGCTAACATATTAAACTTTAGATTTATCACCCATTCCAACTGTGTCGTGATTTTATAAATAGAAATGAGCAACTGCACAAGTAAGGCTGCAGTGAAAATGCTGTAACTTCCTATAGTCTGCTGTGCCATTCTGCAGGCTGGACAAGCAATCTACTTTTTTTCACCACAGCAGCCAACATCACCTTCAAGCCACTATTCCTGCAAGTCTAATAAGGAAAGGGTACATGTTTCATCTGAGATAGCCCCCTGCATATGCTAGAATGAGAGCCTGTATGTACTAGAAAGCGAAGACACCTGCCCTCTGTTTCCAAATGAACTATTTGCTACACTCTGAATGTAATTTCCACATACAACTCTTGTAAAACCCTAAGAGAATGGTAATAAGCAGTATTAATTTATTACACAAACTATAGTAACACATGGTGCACACATGCTCAGTGATAATACTTTCTAGAAGAAAGCAAGTTTTCCTTTAAACAAAAATTATCAGTATTCATTACTACCGGGAAAACTGAGGCCACAACTAGGAAAAAAAAAGCAAAACAACAAAACAAGAACGACATCTGTCTCGGTGCCTGCTGATCACGAAATGATTTCATGTTGCAACTCAACAGTTCAAATAAATAAGTACTTTTTTCTCTGTCCATAGTTTTAGCAGAAACTATCAATGGATCTTTACTGCAGTCTCAATAGACTTTTACAGCCTTTCCTAGCACAGAAGGGAGAGGTGTCCCAAGTCATAGCTTCTCTGACAAATTCTAAATCTTTGAAAGCTGTCTGGCTTCAACATGTTTCAGTCCACTGAAAAGAAAACTTTTAGAACTGGTCTAAATACAAATTACACACAACTGTGATAATTCCCAGGTAACATACTAATTGCGTAGCTGTTTTCCTATTGACTCCCAAGTTCTGATTTGCTCCACCACACTGCCACAAAATCAAGGACCTTTGCTGAGTAACTTACATCGTGTCATTAAACTCGTTAGACACAGACAGAGCCTTACTTTGACTGACATGTAGCTGTGTTTCCAACTACTTTTTCTTCCAGATCCTCAAAACTGCATACTTTCATAGCACTCAGATAGACAGAGATGTGTACCATGTGTTCATGGTGGGCATGATGAACCTCCTGCTTTAACTGTCAGGTTAGTTTTTTCAAAAAAACCATTAATGGAATGACTATTCTGAGACTATCATACATAAGTCTTGACCTCTGGCAGAAACTATCTGTAACAGCATGAAGCCCATTCTAAGAGTTTTCTGAAAGGATATCTCTGGATCCCAAAGAGAAATATTTTCAATGTCTCATTAAAGGAAAAATAATAATAAAAAACCCAATAGCCACTTTCATATGTGTAGGATAGGGATATTTCAAATGTAGGGATAGTAGCTTCTATCAAATGTTTTATATACTCTGCTATCTGAATGGCCTGACCAACATTTTAAATCTTGTGCACGTTTTTAGATCAGGGCTTAACATCTTTTGTTTCCTTTGCCTCTCTTCAGGGGTTAAAGCAAGTCCCTAATATATTTAAAGTACAGTTATAGGTACAGTTTCTATACATATGTATTTGTATACATGCACACACACACAAATGTAACACGTTAATATCACGGACCCATTGTTTGGAGGGCTGCTTAAAACATGGTGAATTTCTATTTAAGTATCACGATACAAAAAAGTGTTTCAAGACTTCTACTTTAGCAGGTTACTAGGATAAATCTTTTACCAATGACAGAAAGCTGCAGTATCCTATCTCTGTCAGTCACTTCAGGATTCAGCAACTAGAACTGAAGACTGAATAGGATTGTCTGTTGTTTTTGGGGGTGTGTTGGGTTTGTTGTTGTTTTGGGGGGTTTTTTGAGGTTTTTTGTTGTTGTTGGGTGGTTTGGTTTTTTGGGGTGTTGTTTTTTTGTGGTTTTTTTTGTGTGTTTTTGGTTGGTTGGTTGTGGTTTTTTTTTGTTGTTTGTTGGGTTGTTTCTTTTTCTGTGAGGGGAGTTTGGTTGTTTTGGTTGTGCTGTTTTTTTTCCCCAGAAAAAGGAGAAATAAAAATAAATTACACCTTCTGCTCACAATTATTTTAAGGAAAGAATTCCTAAGCTACTGAACATCATTAGTGATTACATAAACAACTACTACAGTATAATAAAACCAGTGAAGTAATTCCAACTTTGCCTTGAACTTCCAAAAAGCAAGATGCACACATATGGCTGAATTAGTTCACTCAGAAATCAGCAGAGGAATGCCAAAGACAGATTTGACCCATTATCTACCTGCACAGCACAAATGAATAATGCAAATGTGTATGCAAAGGACCATGAAGCATCTGAGCTTAGCAGTGCATTTAAAATATATCACTAACTTTCAGCTTCTTGAAAAATGTATCAAATGCAGGAGGTTCCACCGAGAGCACACCCTGTTAGGGACTCCACTGGATTTTTATTTCTACACCTGACTCAGAGGACTATAAAAAAGGAGACTAAAGCAACTTGGGGTACTGCTCTGTCACTACAGGCCTCACATGTCCCTTCATAAATCTTCCTGAAACACCTGAATGTTCATTCCATAGCCAAGACTAACAGGTCTTTACACAGTGCATCTTGGGAAGGGAGAAGAGGAAGGCAATGGGCTTTTCGACATGACTTCAGAAGCCACAAAAATTAAACTGTATGCAATTAGAACGTTACTAAAAGAACCCACAGTAAAAAGCATACTTTACGGCACCACAGTCAACTCAAGAGTACCACATAACAAGCTAAGCAACCTTATTAAAATTAGTGGTACTAAAATTAGTTAAAATGACTAGTTGGATCAACTAGGAACAAGCCTGGATCAGTCACACAAAGCAGTTAAACTGCTGAGCGCTCACCAAACGCTGAATTAGTTTTACTAAACTTTTTGTGAAACAACATTAATATAGGACTTTGGGAGGGTACATGCTTACTTACGTAATCTCACAAATGCAATTGCCACAATAACATATTCCTGCAGTGTCTTAAGTCAGGAATAATATGTAAACCAATCTGCTCTAAATCCCCCCCTCCTATTTTTTTTCTCTTTTGGCAGGAATTACTAGGCCTCATGGGAGAGGGAATGGGCTGTTCTTACATTTTAGATATTTCACTTGAATTCAGCCAAAAGATCAAACTGGTAAGCAAACTGTTACCGTAACAAGTATACAGAGCTGTGTCAGGAAAGGTTGTTGGGGCTTTTTCACATAACTGACTTTCACATTGAGTTATTTAATCCCTTGAGCAGTCAGTCACATTTTCCTGGGACTTGAGCAGCACCAGATGAAACTCGGGAGGTCACAACCATCCATCGTTTTCACTAATCTTCTCTAATGAATTTCAAATTAGCTGACCCATCTACACACACACACATATACAAAAAATCTACCTGAAAAGCTTAGTAAAGATTTAAAGGTTATGCATAATTATGAGAGATGCAAATCCCATTCTCACCAATTTAAAGCTATAATCTGAAATAAAGATATCACCACACACTGAGTACATTTATTGAGAACATTTTCTAGGGTAAAAGTACAAAGCAACAGGTCTGTGAGCTCAAAAAATACTTTTTTGCACAAGAAAGATTAGCCTGTGGAATCATTTTATCTCAGCGGAATTAGTGATTTTCTGAAATCTTTGCTTTAGGCAAGCTGAAACAAGAAATAACCAGGGAAATACATTGTTGCTAAATAAGGATGTGAAGCATTTCGGGGGGAACAAGACACTTAACTGAAGAGTAACATTTACTTTAACATTTCACTTTCCTGCCTTCAATGGACTTTAAAGTCCCGGTTTCTCTCTTTTTCTTTTCTTGTTTTTTGTTTTGTTTTGTTTTTTTGTTTGTGTTTGTTTTTTTTTTTTAAGGGGGTGGCCCAGATTTCTGTTTCTAAGGAAAGATAAAAACCCGACCAAAACCTACCAGCCACAAGTTCGACTCCACTCCACGTGGACTTTAAAATCCAGCAATGGTGCTACCTATATGCTTTTGGATAACGTAATTTCAAGCGTTTCGAGGTCCAAAAGCATTTCTAAGCCACTCAGAAGAGACGTTCAAAACCACGTACAGACCCTTCCACGAAATCTCTTGCTTTTAAGAGCTCTGAGGTCCAAAAACGTTTCTAATCCATTCAGAAATGACGTTTAAAAACACTTATAGACCTTTCCACGAAACACCTCGCTTCGTTTCCAACAAACAAATTTCGAGACAGTCCCAAACAAGCGATCCGTCTTTAACTCTTTTACCTTTGTCGCCCACTTGTAAATTAACCTCCTTGATCACTTCAGCACCGCTCTGGGAAGTCTCCTCAAAGCCGAGCTGAGTTTCCCTCCTCTCCGGAGCAGCAGCTCAAGCAGGACTTGCCATCTGGGGTAGTGTTTGTTTTCCTCTTTTTACACTTACAAGAAGAAACTTGGTGAAAACACGAGCCGGCGGGCGCTGACGGCCATTCCGAAAGCGCGGAAAGACGGCGGCCGCGGCAGCAGCACAACAAAAGCCAGCCCTTTCCCCGCCTCCCCGTCCCTCAAGGCCTCCCCGGGGCTGGCAGGCGGGCAGGGGGCGAGGCCCGGCCGCGGGCAGCTGCCACCGGCCCAGCGGGACAGCGGAGGGGGTGCGAGAGGAGCAGGCCGGGCGGGTAGAGGAGCGCTCCGCCGGGCACAAAGGTCTCCATGGCAACGGCGGGCCGAGCCCCCATCGCCCTTGTTGAGGCAACACCTCGTCGCCGCAGGCCCCGCCCACCCGCCGGCCCCCCACAGCCCCGCGCAGCCCGCGAGCTTCCCCCCTAAAACAAAACCCGCAGCGATCGATCCATCCCGTAGCATCTCCACATCCCCCTCCGGCACCGGGCGACGCACCCGCCTCGCAGCTGAAGCACCGGCAGCGGCGACAGGGCAGCCCGAGCCCCGAGCCGAGGGGGGCTGCCCGCGGCCCTGCCCTAAACCTGCAGCATGGCTGTGCTTCGCTTTGTCCCCAGAGTGCAGTCATTTAGGCCTTCTAATTGAGAGTAGAAGTCGATATGCTACTACAGAATGACAGCATAACTTCACTCTGAATTAATTAAAATGCCCACATTCTTCAGCTTATCATGGAATCACGGAATGGCTTGGGTTGAAAGGGGCTTTAAAGGTCACCCAGTTCCAATCCCCTTGCTGTGGGCAGTCACATTCCACTAGACCAGGTTGCTCCAAGCCCTGTCCAACCTGGCCTTGAACACCGCCAGGGATGAGGCATCCACAGCTTCTCTGGGCAACCTGTGCCAGTGCCTCAGCACCCTCACAGTGAAAGAATTTTTTCCTAATATCTAATTTAAATCTCCTCTCTGTCAGTTTAAAGCCATCCCCCTTGGCCTGTCACTATATGCCCTTGCAAAAAGTCCCTCTCCAGATTTCTTGTAGGCCCCCCCTTTAAGTACTGAAAGGCCTCTCCTCAGCCTTCTCTTCCCCATGCTGAACAACCCCAGCTCTTTCAGCCTGTCTTGTCAGTTTCTTCTAATACAAAATGTTTTATTTTGAGCTTTTTTCTTTTAATTATTTTTCTTCTAAACTTACGTTTTTCAGACTGTACAACCAGAAGCTATGAAACTTTTGTCCTAAATATGCAGGCACCTAGAAAATAAAACTTACACTCCTGTTCTTAGAAACATGCACAGCACTAAACAGGAAGGTTAAAAGCGAAGGGCTAAGCGCCCAGCCTGGTCTCCAGCACAGACAACTCCAAGGCTCCAACACACACTACAAACAACAACTTTATGTACATATGGGATTCCTCCCACTGAACACAGCAAGACTCCTTGTATGCCCTGAAGTCTGAGAGGTGTCAGGTCAAGGATCACGACACCTGAGACAGAAATGAGGCTCAAGCCCTAGCCATGACAAGTTCCTACAACCCAGTGCAAGACCCCTGTAGATGTAATGATGCCTGTAAAATATTATGATAATTCTTCAGTGTGGTGCAAATGTTTAAGTAATTCAATTATTCTGCTGATGTCAGAAAGATTTAACTTGCTTCCAAGGATTTCTTGCTAAAGGGCCTTCACCACTCTGTGGGTTTCAGTTCACCAACACCTGTATGATATGAACACTGGAGGAAAACAACTGTTTGATTATTTTGTATACAGAGATCCTGTCAAGAAAAATAACCTTCCCTTTTACAAAAATATGAGCTTCACACTCATATGAATAAACTACCAGACTCCAAAATGAGCCCTTTCCTTCCTCATTAAAAATAAAACGTCATAGCTCACAGTGCCTTAATTATTTTCTGCCAGCGTCTAGGTAAAAGGCTGAAGGACTGGACTAGATGACTCTGGTTTAGCATTTTCTTTTAATTCCACATTCAGTCCCAATCTCAAAGAAAAGGCTTCTTTCTACGTAGAAAGAGCTGTCCCTCTTTCTGAACCACAATGACCACATACTAACATCCACTGCCATTAGTCTTTACAATTACTGACTGTGAGCCGTAAAATTTCAGTAGTCTTCTCTCAAAATGTCACAGTGAAGCTGAGGTCAGTCTTGCTTGATCTGATACGATACCATATACACATGGAGGAAAGAAGAGTGGCATTTCAGGGTCCAAAGGGGGAAAAAAAACACTTCTACCAACCATCACTGGGTTTATTGGCACTCCCTGGTGCAGAGGTTAAGTGCAGGGGTTAGCCCCCAACTCTGCTAAAAAAAGGGAAGAGCAGGAAGAAACTGAAAGCAGCTAAGAGATTTAGCATTAGAAACTGCTTTTAAACACCAGCTGAGGCCAATGCAATTATGATGATGATAATGATGATGATAATAATAATGATGACACAATCAGCTACCTCTTCCTTTTGGAGGAAGTACTTTGGAAGGGGAAAACCCAACAGTTAACCATATTTCCAAAATTTCAGGGAGGTAAAATGTTGCTGGGGGCAATAGATGGAAAACTAAGTTGTAAATCCCTGTATTTTAGCTCATGAATGGCAAACATACTAGGTTCCTTGTAATCCTGCCAAACTGTAAGTGTCATTTAAGGAGAGCAATGCAACAGCTTACTGTTGATCTCCATTGTTGCCTACAATAAAGGAAGACTGTTTCTGATAAATTAAAGGTCACAAATACATGCCAATTTAATAGAAAAAATATCTACTCCACATGAGATAGTATCTCCAAGGGGTAATTAGTTACACGGCCGTCTGAGCTCTCTTTCACTGAAATACTGTGAACAGCCATCCTGTTCCATTGAAACATAGCTCACAGAACAGTTTGTGTTGAAAGATCATGTAGTACCAGGCCCCCTGCCACAGTCAGGGACACCTTCCACTAGACAAGGTTGCTCAAAACCCCATCCAACCTGGCCTTGAACACTGCCAGGGATGGGATTGCCACATCTAAAATTCCATCACTGTCTCAGGAAAGCTCTCTTGAAAAAAAAATAAATAAAAATAAGGTACTATAAATTCATTACATCCATTTCAGCAGTGCACAACACACACGCAGTATATTTAATAGAGAAATTTAACCTAACAATAAAATTCAAGAGCATTTCACTCTCATTGCAAAGATCAATGATCAGTATTAAAATGGATTACCGCATACTCATAAAAGAGTTGATCAATAATTTGACATTTTGTACAGATTGCTACCTTCATTATGGAGTGGTCCCATCTCATAAAATTGACTGATCAAAGTGGAAGCAAACTATTTTCATTCCAAACCCATACACCCTTCCTGTCGTTAGAATATGTACTTTTTCTGAATCACAAAAATTCCTATACACTTCAAATTCATCCCATCCTAAGTGCTCTGTCGATGTTTGACTTAATTGTCTGCTGAAGCTGTGCAAACTTTAAGCATTTGAACAAGGAGAAGTAGAAGGAAATCCTGTAATGCATTTTAGGCTTTCCAATAAAACTCAAGGAAAATGTCTTTAAGTTGATGTACTGAGAAAGGAGGTTAGGTGCAGGATTTGGCTGTTATTTGGCACACAGATAGTTATGTCTGACCCACAATTCAGTGGTTTTATGCTAACACCCACAACATCACTTTCATCTACACAGACACATCCTTTTCACACTGGTGTTTGAAGAATCATTTAAACCATCTCCAGATGTCAGGAGTGTAAAGACCAAGTGGATTCTCTGTAATCTGAATGAAAAACATCAACACTCAAATCTATGTTTTTCAGAAGAGAGAAATCTATAAACTTTTCAAGGCAGCTGTGCTAAGGCCAGAGCTGAGTTAGCTTGTGTTCTTCGTGTCTACTAAGCCAACAGGAGGCATGCACAGAATAAATTGCTGTACAGAGCAGAAATCAAATTACTTAATTTTAAATTCACACAAATATTTACTGTATTAATTTGGTAGTTGTTTCTATACTTGGTTGTGGGTTTTTTCCCTGCTAAACCCTTTCCAGGGCACATTTAGCTGTTCTGCTTGATAATCTGTGCACATGAAGAGAGAGATTACTCCAGAATATTTCCCTTGTCTCTACCAACATTTTCTGGTTTGTGACATTAAGGTTACCATGAAACAGTGCTGCAAGTACTGCAAAGCCTCAGACTGTTTTCAGAAGCTCAGTCCCGGGTTACAATTTCTTACTGTGTTTTAATTGAGTTTCTGTCTTGATTTGGTAACCCCGTGGGGAAGACCACTCTCAGAACAAGTAAGGGTTTTGTGTGATACTGTGCATGCTAGCTCTGCAGATCCCCACAGTTTCTCTTCCATGACATATTCAGCTCAGGCAAATAGTGTAAACAGGGAATTTTGTTCTTACATAGTAAGTGAAGAAAGCCTTTCTGTGGGTCTGAATACACAGTAGTAGCACTTATTTCCACCAACTTTTGGTCTTCATATGCTGCAACACTAATGAACAGCAGAATTTTTTTCAGAAAATATTACAAGCCACAGAATTTTTAAGATTTAATTTGTTTCACTGTCTGTGGGAATAACCACTCAGTAACACTGAGAAAATAGAGAACACGCCTAAGCGCTTGGAAGATTTGCTAACCAAAAAAAAGAGCTACCAAGACATTTCCTACCACCGTGTAACAGCTTTGTAAGTACTCTTGAGAGTTTCTGACACACAGCAGGAATTTTGGAGAATATGAGCAACTTTTAAGTCACACAGTAGAAAAGGAAAACAATTTGAGAAAGGTTGGGCACGACTTCCTGGAAACCTGAAGTAAAACTCACTGATTCCAGTCAGAACACATTTAGGTCAACTAGAATTACCACTGGAAAGCTAACACTTATGGAAGTACTGTACTTAAATCCCAGTTAATTGGGTTAGTGGTGATTTCTTTGTATTACAAAAGGATTTTCTGGATATACTGTTCAGGAAGTTTTTGAAAATGAAGGTTTGCAATTTTAGAAGTTCCTTGAAAGTTTCTTGCCCAACTTCTTATAGCTACAAAGTTTAACTGTATGTCATATTTTCTATTTTAAAAGTAAGATTATCCTTCATGACAATCAAACCTGGAAGTGTGATCTGCTGAGGCAGCATGAAAAGTCAAACATCAAAAATACAGGTGAATTCTGAGAAAAAGGATTTTGCCTTTTGCTAGAATTTACATTTACCCACATAATAGCTCTTCTTCTTTCAGCTGTCTGCCTACCGTGGACCCTGTGCTTGTGATATCTGATAAT